GTGGAGGGAGAATAGAGAAGCAGCAGAAGAATAGGAGTAGAAAAGGAATTCTAGACCGAAAAAGAAGGATAAGGAGATAGAGAGTAAGAGAAAACTGAGCAGAAGAAGAGTCAGCAGGGAAGAAACAGAGCAAGAACCAGAAGAAGAAGAAGAATAACGAACTTGATGAGGAGGGGAGAACATGGAAGAAGCCAAAGCTCCGATTCAATTCATCAATTCAACATCTTCCTCACAGCTTACAGTACAACCCTATATTGAACGATACAACTAAAGGGCTTGGACTAGCCCACTAATAACAAAAGCCCAAATACATAAAATAAAAATAAATGACCCTATCCATGACAGCCCTTCCTCTTAAATTAACCTTGTTCTCAAGGTTCAAAGTCGAGATTGTCTTCTTGTATGTTGTTAGCAGCTGTCTCATTCTCTTCACCATTCTTAGATTAAGTAAGTAGCGCAAGAAAACAAGTGCCTCATTAGCGACAATCTTCTTGATCAACCCAGTAACGATATACAATTATGGTTGTGTGCTCCAAATCAAGACTGAATCCAAAAAAATGAAAATGGAGACTGATGAAGCTGACTTCTTTGCATTCAAAAACATGATGCTAAACTCTTCATCAACGAGATAAGGTTCATCCTTACACACAGCAAACATTCTCTCAAACTCCTTATTATGGTGTTTGAGTTCGATAAACCCCTGTTCAAAATAAAAAAAACAATTGGGCAAAATTGGCTCATCCAATCAACTCCTAAAACCATATCACCCCCAGTTTCAAGGCTTTTAGATTGAACTAAAATTCCCAATCATGCACTCTCCATACTAATGGCTGAAAAACAGCTTTGCTTTCTATTTTGTCCCCATTAGCTACCCTGATTGTCATCACATTTGCCTCATCAGTAGCATAGTTCGATTCCTTGATTAACCTTTCATCCACAAAACTGTGGGCACTTTCACTATCAACGAGGATTGATATTTTCCTCCCTTTGATCATCTCAGGAATTCCAATATTTTTATGTTTCAAGCTCTCAACTAAAGCACTGATTGAAATATCCATAACTTCTTCACCTCATTGTCCCTCTTCATGTTCAGACTCTTGTACTTTATCCACTTGAGGCACATTCGCCTCACCTTCTTGATGTTCTTTCATTGTTCCTAGTTGCATAATCTTGGTATCTGATTCAATTACTTCATTCCCTATCATTTCTGAAAACCTCCTGCAAAGTTCCTTGGAGAATAAATTCCAATCTGCCTTAGGATGGTTTGCAATGAATCCATAAAACCATACATAAGCCCTCCCTTCCAAA